GTGGAGGTAGAGGTGGTAGGGGTTGGATGATGTAAAAAAATCTTAAAATTTGAAATATTTTTCAAAAATAATTCTTAAATTTTTTATTTAAAAATTTTAATTTTGTTTTTGAATAGGGAGGGTCGGGTACGGGTTATGGGTAGTGTAAGAAAAAAAATTAAAGGGTGAAATAGAGTTTTGGAAAATGTTTTTCTTAAATTTGAGGAAAATGAGTTAATTTGAAAAACATTTTAAGCCAACCAAACATGGAAAATTGGAAAATCCGTACCAAACACACCTTGAGTCAACAGTCCAGTCTCCTCCACTCAACACTTCATCATTTTGCTCTTTAATGTCCATACATTTTTTTCCATGGAAATTTTGAGCCTGATAATTCTCAAGTCATATTTCTTTGGCATTATATTCACCATATATATGTGGTCTTTTCATAGTGTTTAAGTATAGTCATGATTTTTTCCGACTTTCACATTGTATGATAATCTCCAACTCCAAATGTAATTTGAAGTATGTAAATAATTTTCTTGTAAAGATAACGATGTAAATATTTTTTTAAAATAGAATGATGTATAAATTATGAAAGGATATGTAGATGATAGGAACAGGTTACTGCATTATTATGGACTGGAAAATGGTATTGGCTATGCTACAGGCAACCTGGAGGCCCTATAGTGTTGTTTAGTCTTCAGAGTGTTTTTTGGTTAAGACTTAAGAGTGTCAATATTTAGAAAGACTAATTGTAAACTCCAGTAGATGGAAAATCACCATTCCAGCTACCATATGGTTGAAAGAAATCTGTGATGTTTTGAAAGTGAAAGAGTACATAATATGAAGTACAAAACTGAATTCATCTTAAATAGCGGAATTGACATAGGTAATCAAGCATCAATCATAAGGGGATGGTCTAATTCCACCTAGCGGCGACTATTGACAAACAGGAGCCTGATCTTTTGAAGTGTTGAAAGAGAATCTTCCATACTAATTCTTGCATCAGGTGTCACTAAAGTGCAGCTCAAAGCTAACTCTATGATAGACAACAGACACTGCATCTTTGCGTCAATTCGTTCATCCTCTAGCTGTACCAAATTAGCATCCACCACCTTATGAATCTCATCTGGAAAAGAATCGCTTACCCAACGTCGTATGCTCAAGTCACCAGTAAATCTTTCATCACCTGGTCTGATTCTTGTAAATGTCTCCATCATCAGGATGCCGAAACTATAAACATCACAGCTCGTGGATACTATTCCATCTTGTCCATACTCTGCAATCATGGTTGAAAATGATATAAAAAAAAGCTTCCTAATTATCGAGGAATATGTGAAAACTGATCATATTTATGGGGAAATAATTAATATTTTTCAGGTATTCTAAAAACATGAGGAATCTGTAAAAGTTTAAAAACCTGGAGCAATATATCCAATGGTTGCTATTGTCCTTGTTTGAACAAAAGTCTCCCCTGCACCTAACAATTTTGCAATGCCAAAATCACTGACATGGCCAACCATTTCTTGATCTAGCAAGACATTGCTTGGCTTTAAGTCACAATGCACCACAGGATTTGAACAACCACTGTGGAGATAGACCATTGCAGATGCAACATCTATCATTATATCTAATCTGTGAAATAAATCCAAGAACAAGTTGTGAGAGTATAGCCATTTATCAAGTGTCCCATTGGACATGTATTCCAACACTAAGGCTTTGAAATCAAGGTTGGAGCAACTGGTGATGACTTTGGTCAGATTTCGGTGGCGGAGATTGCGCAACATCTCACATTCTGTATCAAAACTTTTGAATGCACCCTCCAATTGCACATTGAATACCTTTGAAGCCAAAAGAGTACCATCCTTAAGTATCCCTTTGTAGACCTTGCTGAAACTCCCGTTACCAAGCAAGTTGCTTTCATTGAATCCTTCGGTTGCTTGTTCAAGTTCATAATAGGAAATTCTTTCATGACATTTTATCAGAGACACATCAGCTTGACCTGCATTCTTTTTTTTCTTTCTCAATCTCAAAAATACATATGTGACGGCTAATGCAAGAAATAGCATACCTACTCCCAAAAGGATGTACAAAACCAAAATT